ACACTGTGGAATTTGCAGAAGTATAGTGACGAAATGAGAAACAGGTTAAGGGGAATTCTATCTTGACAAGTCTTCCTTGTTTACCGTTTTGTGTCGGGTGTGGGCGCCTGGGGGATCATTTTGCTGAATAATAGGTGTTGAAGTTCTGCAGTATGTATTTGGTAGGCAGAAGTGTAGACTCCATTGATGTAGCTCAGAATAGAGTAAGACTCAAGTTTCAAATTTAATGACTTTAGACTTGACTGGACTTTCATGATTTGTCTTAGAATTGAATCTTTTGAATTGATATCTTACACCTAGTGGTGTTTCAATGGAACTGCAGCTGCCCCACAACAATAGAATTGTGCCAAGCATGTGATCAGTAAAAGTTTGAATGCAGGAACTGTTCTTACATCATATTCGGAATGCCAGAGGTGCCATAATGTGTGTCTTTAACATTTAGACTTAGTATGAATGAATTAATAACATTATGATAAAAGAAGACTTTATTTTTCCACATTTAAATTTGTAACTTTGCTTGATTTTTTTTTCAGATTGTCCATATTTTCTTGTCACATACATTTTTCTTGAATCAGTTTTTTTTTTAATCTTTAGATCTGACAAAACTGAATTTAAAAAGCCATGTGTTCTCAAAACTAAGTAGAGGGGCACAAATTTTTAAACTTCATTCCCACATTTAAACCTGTGTGAAAAAAAGATGAAAACAAATGTATGCTTCCGTTATCGCAGCAGCTAAGTTTTCTCCATCCATCCATTATCTTACACGCTTGTCCCTAGTGGGGTTGTGAGAGGTGCTGCTGCCCATCTACAGCGGTCAGGTAACTTTTCTGTGTTTGCTAATTCAATAAAGGAGCCTGCAGCCAAAGATCCCAGTTCCAATATGATAATAAAGATAGATGTTTAAATCTATCTTTAAATCACTATCTGATGGTGAATCAGTTTTCTAATTTTTTTACATTTACTGAATAATTTAGGTTAATTTTTATTGTTATACATATATATATATTTGAAGTTTACTTCACCTTGGTGATTAGGTTGGTAGAGAAAAACACCTTTTAAAATAATTTAGGAATTTAAAGTTATTACTCTGATAACACAATAGGCCAAATGATGTTTAAGATTTGAAATTAAAAGTTTAGGACTTTGATTC